CCAAGCCCCTGTGTCCAACCTGGCCTTGAACACTGCCAGGGATGGGGCAGCCACAGCTTCTCTGGGCACCCTGTGCCAGCGCCTCAGCACCCTCCCAGGGAAGAGCTTCTGCCTAAGAGCTCATCTCAGTCTCCCCTCGGGCAGGTTAAAGCCATTCCCCTTGGCCTGTCCCTACAGGCCCTTGTCCAAAGCCCCTCTCCAGGTTTCCTGCAGCCCCTTTAGGCACTGGAGCTGCTCTCAGGTCTCCCCTTCAGGAGCCTTCTCTTGTCCAGGCTGACTCAGCCCAGCTCTCTCAGCCTGGCTCCAGAGCAGAGCTGCTCCAGCCCTCACAGCATCTCCATGGCCTCCTCTGGGCTCGCTCCAACAGCTCCACGTCCCTCTTGTGCTGTTGCCCCAGAGCTGGATCAGGGCTGCTGGAAGGGGGGGGGGAGGGTGTCTCACAGTGTTCACTTGTGCCTAAGGTCCTGTGGGACTATTTAAGGTAGAGGAGGATGCATTCACCTGCTTTTCAGAGAGGAACAGAGGCAAAATAAGAGGAAAAAAACCCCATAAAATTAGAGAAAAAGTTTCAGGGTCCACTCAGGAATTGACATTCCCAGAAGGTGCTTCTGAGAGAGAACTTCCCTGAAACAGCCTCATTCTGATGAATCACAGATCAGAAAAAGACAGCTTCTTGCATCAGTTTTGACTTCCTTAGGGAAAACAGTCCCCATTTACAGGAAAAGATAATTAAAGGGAATATGAGGGACTATGGAAAACCAGAGGAATCTGGAATTTGTTCTTTTCACAGGCAGCAGGAACGCTGAAGGATTCTGCCCCTTGTAACACAGACCTCAGCACAAGTTAAACCGATGGCTGATTGCAATGAACAACAAAAAGCAAAAGGCAATGCTTGCAATCTAATCTTTCACCGGTCTTCTAATGAGAAGCTTGGTTCTGGTGCATAACTTGATTGCTCAAACCCAGCAATGCCTACCTCATATGGAGACCTTTGAATTCACATACACACATAGCACTTCGACTGCTCCAGCCCGAGTTGCAAGCATGCTATGAGTAGCGCAATGCTGAATCACACAGCTGTGGGGTATTTCATTTCTAGTAAGGATAGTGAGAAATAAGACAGAACCCAAACATGGGGTTTCTATACACCGACTCCTTCTATGAAAGGTGGTATTTCCAGGATGTGTTTCTCAATCAACAGTCCGCTCCTGTGAGCGGCTCAAAGGCAGTAGCCAGAGAGCTGATAGCTGGAGAACAGGCAACACCAAGAAGTGAAACAAGCTTTCAAATGCACTTTACGCGCAGCAGCTCCATTCCTTCTCCCCCACCGACGGAGGACAGCACGTTGACACTCAGTATCGGAGCGTAACCAGCCTTTCAGTTTCCGCTCCCGTCCTCCAAACAGCAAGCCCAGTTCTTTGGAACATTACACGTTTTACTTCTTAGATTAACGCAGCACTGTGTCAGTAAATGACAAGTACGCGTGCAAAGGAGGACGCAGTTACAGTGCATGCCTTGTACGAGACCTTGATGTATTTCTTGCATTAAGCTATGGGTATCTTCCATCATCTTGATCCGATTCGAGTATTCTAGTTAATTTGAGACAGCACTGCATGCACGGAATTTGGGTCTTTAATGCTAAGCCAACACCGAGCAGATGCTCAGCCTAGTCCCACCGAGGCTGCTGGAATTCCTCCTGGAATGACGCTTATTCTCTCCTAACAGCGCTGGTTTTGGCTGCTCGCAGCAGATAATTAAAGCTCGGCACATTCCCAGAGGTCACAAACGGAGCCGGGAAGCGCTTCATAACCTTTGTCTGTGGACAAGAACCGCGCTATCCTGCCCAGGCCCCGCAGCACAGCCCCCCCAGCCCTCGCTGCCGGGGCACCCCGAAACCCCGCGCTCCAGCCGGAGCACCTTCACTTTCCGCTGCCCGGCGGGGCCGCTAGGGCGCGCTGTGGCTCCGAGCGGGCCCCTCCGACGGCACCGGGGCGGGGAGCGGCCGGCGGTGTGGGTCCCTCCTCGCCGGGGCCGGGCTCGCAGCCCGCACCGGATCCAGCCGGGATGAGGCTCTGCGGGAGGGCGGGTGTCGGCGCGTGGAGCCCACGCGAGCTGCGCGTAACTTCCAGGCACGGCGGGGCCGCGCGCAGGGATTTCCCCTCGCTCGGATCCCGTCAATGGGAGTCCTGACCTTGCGAGTGTGTCTGCAGGGAGAGCGCCTGCCCGCGGCTTAGGCACCGTGGGTCCTGGCTAACAGAATACAGGCACAGAACGGTTTGGGTTGGAAGGGGACCTAAAGCTCATCCAGTTCCAACCCCCTCCCCACGGGCAGGGACACCTTCCACTGGAGCAGCTTGCTCCAAGCCCCTGTGTCCAACCTGGCCTTGAGCACTGCCAGGGATGGGGCAGCCACAGCTTCTCTGGGCACCCTGTGCCAGCGCCTCAGCACCCTCACAGGGAAGAGCTTCTGCCTTAGATCCAACCTGAACTTGCCCTCTTTCAGTTTGAACCCATCTCTCCTTGTCCAAGCAATATGGCCATTAGGATTTTCTGACAGCTTTCAGGTATAGCCCAGGGAGCTGCCTTTACTAGAGCAGAACATAAAGATGACAGCAATGACGAGCAGAGAAATGCCTATGCCCACTGAGCCTCTTCCACTGCCTGAGTAAAATACCAAAGCCTTTTGTGTGATATCCAGCATTACAAATCACAACCATGCACTGCCATATGCAAACACTGAATGAAAGCAGCAGACCAGAGTTACAGACACCTATCAAAGAGCCCTGAGCCAACACCTTCGATGTGCATCCTCAGAGCACTCACAGAAGCACCAACTCTGATCCCCAAAACGGATGCCTGTCTTAGCAAACACTGACTTCCATGGCACAAGCGGATTGCGGCACATCAATCTTGAAGTCTCGTAGCTGAAAACTCTGTGCCATCGCACAGTTTCCCTGCCAACAGTGCTCCAGTGTAGCCCTGAACAGCCAGCTCTACTGCTCAGCAGGGCTAACTATCCCACCCTGTCGGTTCACCTGTGTGGCTTCCTACACAGAGTCATTTCACCTATTGCACACTGCATTGTGTCGATGCGCTTGGGTTTGTACACGTGCTCAGAGAGCAAACGTGAGCAGTGGTTTAAAAGGAAGCAACTCTGCAGAGTGTACAATTAATCACATAAGTTCTCTGGAGCCAGTTTAGACAGGGAGGCAGCTCAAAGAATAGTTTGATCATCAGCAGAGAGAAATAATCTGCTCTGCTATAGAACTGGTGACTTCTGGCAAGAAGGTGGGAATTCTCTTTTAAATAGCCTTATGGTAAAGCTGTCAGTATTTTGCTCTTGAAGCTACTTGTCCAGTCAGTAGTAGCCAACACTTCACTCACTGCTTCTTCATTCAGTGGCTGCAGTGCCTATCCCTGCACATCGCAGACACAAACCTCGAATCCTGCCTCATTGCTTGGGAACCACTGTTCTGTACATCACATTTTGGCCACTAGCGTACATTATGCAATTCCTACGGTAATAAAAACTGCATGGGGAAGCTACAGGAAACACTCTGTTCCAAAAAACCACATTCCATTTCACCAGTGATGACAAACCTGTCCACAGGGGGAACTGATGGATGGACTGCCTGTCCTACGCGATTCATGGGATGCAAATGCACTTAACATATTGTGCTTACACTACTGCAAAGGCTACTTTAAGGTTTGGCAACACCAAAAACAACGATAAAGAGTACATTACTGCACAGTAAACCAGTAGTGCTGTAGCAAGGATCAAGGTAGAGGTGAAAATGATTTATCACTTAATGCCTGCTGTTGAAGGCATGAATTTCTTTAAAATAAAGACAGGAATGACACCCAAAGGATTACTAAATACCCAAGAAGATACTACTAGAAATACTAAGTCCATATAAAAAAAGAAGTCATCATTCTAATCACAGAAACACTCCAAAATCAGCCATGAATTCTTGCAGTGATTTCTCTGCCGTGTTTATTCCCAAAGGAGAGTGGAGGAGGAGGGGAATCTTTATTGCATCTGAATCAATGAAATTCCAGAGAAGTTATGACCATTCAGAACATAGTTCTAAGTAACCAGCTTGTCTCCTCTATCTACATGAAAGCAGCCAATTCAGGAAATGAGGCATTGCAATTGCCTATTAATGTCCAAGCTTTCAGCGTGTTAAAGCATGCTAACAAGCCATCTGAGCTATATCTGCAGCTATCAAATGGCAGATAATCTGTCCTGCTTATGGATACAAACGTCAGATGCCAACTGAGGGTGAAGGGGCTCATGACACAGTGTCCAGTAGCAAGCATGACCTACCAGGTCAAGGCATTCCCTTGCCTTTACTTCTGTCTCTCTGCCCCAGCAAGCCCCCCTCATTCAACTGCACTATTCCTGCTGCTTGTTGAGCCATTCTGTGAACAAGATCAGGCAATGACACTCAGAAAAGGCTCTTTCTTTCATATAAGACTGCTTTTCTGGTCAATTACTCACTGGGTTTAATATGCTGCCCATAAGCATTGTGCTGGCACCACAGGGAGCATGGGAGCAACAAGGAAAAAGGGAAGGGGTGAGCATGGAATAAACCTGCTTTAGATGGTATTGCCACACAGAAAGCTGTATGCGCATCTACTCTCTCAACCAAAGCGCTTTCACACGTTACATCCATACACCTTGAAAACATACTCAAGCAATGCTAATATAGCATGAAATCCTGGCCTAGGAGGACTTCAGAGACAGCCAAAGCTCGCTTTTTCCTCTGGATGCTTGAAGCCTTTGTCCTTTCCTTTCATCTCTCCCCACTCTGAGCAGGAACCGAACACCTCGGTTGAAGCCCCAGTAGAGAGGCAGCCCCTGATGACAAATCCCAGTGACTTGGGAATGGGAAGGAGCAGGTTTCACTCCGGCACTTATCACAGATTTAAAACCAAAACTCCCCACACTTTGACTCCTCCAGTACTAAAACACAAACAAGTGTCCTGCAGTGTCTTACCTTAAAGCATCAGGGGCCTTTCAAAGGAGCCAAGATACCTGGGTGAGAACTGAAGCAGGTTAAGCAGAGGTATGGCCCCTTTCTATCAGTTCTGGCAACCAATGGCAGAGGAGCAGAGCAGCAGCAAAACCTGTGGCTGCTACGTTTACCAGGGCCAGTTTATCAATGCTCTTACCCAGCTGGAATGTACCCACATGAAACCCCTACAGAAATCACTTGTAAATTGGATGTCCTCCACACCCCTTTTAAAAGCCCTTTGCATTCCCCAAATGGCATAACGGTGGGGGATAGGGAGAGAACCAGGTGAGATGTTTTATCGTATTCAGTTGTTGGCTCTCGGTTTGAAATCACCAAGGCAACTCACCAAGTGTTTGGCAACATATGCAGCTGCTTACAGTTTCCCATCAGATTTAGTGGAAATACAGACTGCAACATGCAACTTCAGAACCTGACTATGGATCCATGCGCATGAAGCCCTTGTGGGCAGCATCAGCACATGGCTAAATGAGAATATATGAATTTACTAACGCTTTACAATGCTGAAACAGTAATGCAAGTCTTGGTCTGCAGTCTAAGATCTCCTTTCATGACAAACACATGCGTATTAAACTCACCTCGTACAATTACCCGAGAGGACTGAAGATAAGAAATAAATCTGCTCCATTTAACCCCAGAGAATAACCTCAGAGAGCTCACTCTTGGTTGCTAACTGAATAACATCAGAAAGCAGCCAACCACTGTATTCTGCCTATTTCCTAGCCCTGGAGAGCTTTGGTAAGAGTTGCATTAAATGCTCTGTCATCAAGCGAATAGTAATCTCCCAGTATTTTATTACTCAGTCTTAAATGGGGCCCTCTGGAGGGCACGAATTATTGGTAATGGGAGGCAGTAATTACAAAGTGAGGTGTAGTGTAGAAAACATGACAAGCGAGTGAAAACAGTGCCTGGGGACCATTCAATATTGTGCTGGTGAACACAGCATCCTATAAGACCGTGTTAGGGAGAATAGATCTAAAGCAGGAATCTAGCGCTGAGCAGCAAAAAGGAACCCTGGAGCAGAAAATGAGGTTTCCCATGTCTTGCATTAAGGCACAACCTTTCAGGCTATGTCCCTTTATCAGAGCAGTGGATTCTGCCGATCCAGACCACCCTGGGGACACACGGAGTTTCTTGAACGTGCTGCAGGACTGGACACGTTCTGTTAACACACAGTAATCACTGCACACGAGAGGCTGTGCTCCGTGGTCTGCGTTTTGGGTGCCATGTGACTGATAGCAGTCTTGCTGAACTCAGTGGTGAAGGGGCTCCGTGTAAAAGAAGTTAAACTGAGGAAATATGCACTATACGTGTGCGTAACACTGACATAATTCTGTTGTAGTTAAGAACAGTTTCAGTGAGGTGAAAACAAATTACACTGAAGTATGGCAGCTGAAATATCAAAATCTGAGCCAAGCGTGAACAGACACTCTCTGTTCTGAAGGGGCTATAAGAAAAACTCAAGGTGCACAGGGAATCAGCTGTCACAGGGCAAGGCATATGGCTGATAAAAAGATAAGTGGCTTTGGAAAGTATCACTGAATTATTAGGAAGCCTCAACCCATGAAACACGGAACCGACCATTTCGAGCCACATGATGTTCCCACAGCCATCACTGTTGCCTAACAAAGCATGATTAATAACAGAGAAGGTACATTCAAGTGGATGGAAAGACCAGGAACTGGCTACTCAGTGCCACAAGTCTTCTGCCTTGAAGAACTCAATATTCTTAGTAGGTAAATGGGCAGATGGTGCTGGAAAAAGATACCTTTAACCTGATAAATGACCAAGAGCGATGTACCTTGCAAAGCACGATAGACCTAAACGAAGAGCGTTTGTTGATGAAACACAATTTGAAAAGGCATAGAGTAATTTAAAACAATTACCTAGGGTTTTCATTTATTTTATTATTAATGTTATTATTATGGAAATAGGAATGTTTCTGAGCAAAAAAAGGTAGAGATTCTGCGTATGATACCTGATGTCGCATACTGCCATGAAAGCGAAATTGAAAACACATCAGCCATGTTGTGTTTTGAAAGTACATAGGTGGTATTTAAAAAGTAAAATAATCTCATTTTCCCCAACCATTATAAATAACGTAACTCGAGTTCAAAGTAATTACATACAGTTGTATGTTGTTTCCGGAATTTGTGGTTGGAAATGCAAAGAAACTAAGCACAAACAAATAATGATGGGAAACCAGTCAGTGGAAGCTGTAGGGATTGGTCTTCGGAAGGATTAAGTAGAATATTTTGAATTTTGAAAAGTATGGATCAAATTGCTATAAAAAGCTGGCAATGTTTGGAAAATCTTTCGATCACAGCTTCTCAACACGATGGTAAAAATACAGCTGTGCTCACATGTGCTTATCACTTCAGAATGGCTCATGAAAAGCAACTTCTGCTGTTATATAAGCAATACCTAAGTTGTTGCCGTTAATTCCCTCACCTGTATGATCAAAAAGTCTCTATCGAATTTCATGGCTCTCAGCCATTCATCAAGTCCTTAAACAGAGCTGACCGACCTGCCCCTAGCAAGGCATGAGCGAGGGTGCGTAACCTCTCAGTGCACCGACTGAATAGGTCCTGAGTCCATACTGGAACTTAGCAAACGCATGGGATGACCATAATTTACAAGGGAAATTTCTGGCCTGGGCACTATTGTCATTTACAGTAAAGGAGAAAGAAAAGATATTTACATTCATCTCTAGAGATTCTTTACCTCGCAACCCAATAGTGCACTTGGAAATTACTGTACCCTAAAACAGCTCTGATAAGCAAAGATGAAACTCAACCAGCTAAAAGGGAACTAGCAGATCTCTTGCTTAGTATCAAATCCTGTTTTAAAGCTCTCTGCTCTTAAAGACATCCTGTTTAGATGTTTAATCAATGAGCTGTTTGTAAGAGAAACAAAAACGGCCTGCAATCCTCTGCAAAAGGCACATACGCAAAGCTGGAGTAACTCAGCTTTTAAACAGCTACAGAGTTTGGGAAATCCCCCAAATTCCTGTTCGGTTTGGTTTCTGTTTCTCTGTGAACAGTTTTCTCTTTCTGGGAACGTGCCTCAGTTCAGTGGAAGGCAATTAGAGACAAAATAAATAATCCCTTTCTTCTCTGCTCTTCTCTTTAGCTGGATGTTGTCAAAGATTTCAGTTTGTTAAGGGAGCCTGCCTCTGATAAAGCCTTGTGTCTGTGTTAGCTCTCTCATCAATAATGATGTGAGAGTCAGGGATCTCAGGGGGTTGGTTTATATGGTTTGGTTTGTTTGTTTGAAGACCTTCTTCCTTTCAAATTGCAGTCCTGCCCTAAAGAGAATAAGGACAAGGGAGAGGAGGAAATGACTTGGATCAGCAGTGTACTCAGTTGGCGTCCCATCAAATAATCAAGCTCATCCTAAAACTAAGCGAGTTGCATGCACACGTGCCTGCCTACAAAACTGCTCACACCACTTCTTTTGGAAAGCTATTCCCGAGCATCTTTCTTCTGACACATAGAAACTCCTTTGCATACATAGCTCAAAAACATGACCAAATCATATCTATTTTTCCTTCTACTAACATTACATCTTACCTACTTTTTCCCTTACACAGTTTTCACTCTGCTGTAATTACATAGGCTGTGACCCTACCACTTCTCAGACTTTAGTTGTCTAAAATGAAGTCTCAAAAACTATATTCCTCATTCCCTTAATGTTCCTGGTAGCCCTTCTGCATCCCTGGACTAGTTAGGGCTCATCTTTCTTTATCATGGTTGAGCAGAATTGTGTACAGAATTCCAGATGAGGTTTTGCCAGGCCCTTGCATAATTACATTGCTGTTTCTCTCTTTAAGAACACAAGTACACAAATAAAGAAACAACCCCATTACTACACATCTGAGCTCCTATGTCACTTCCTTCTTGCCCCACTCCATTGGCGCCTCAGCATCAGTTGCTAATATGCCTTTGCTTGTTCATTCTATTGTCATTTCCAGTTGACGAGTCAAGTTTGTGACTGAATACTTTGCATCATGAGGGACTGCTAGATGATCACATCCCTTTCCCACAAAAGGTTGGTCCAAGTGATCTTTCATCCCCTGCAACCTGGGCTATTCTATGATTCTATGCTGAATCACCATGGCCTTTCTACTTTGTGCAAGGTCATGCAGTTTCTTTTGCATGCTATTTTAATCTGCTTCTGTATTGATGGTTCCTTTGTACCCAAAGTCCTTGCCAAAGGTACTGACCAAGAGCGGTCTGTGATCAGCCCTTGAGAACCTCCACTTACAAGCCATTCTTTAGCCTGATCTCTACCTCAGTAAAACAAACTATTGCCATTCTCCTTCAGTTTGTTATCGGGTTATTTTCCAATTCTTGGACTATTCCACATCATCTCCAGCTGAAGTACTTGTGTCTCATACAGTTTTACACCAAATATTTAAGCAGAGACTTGTTGCTTATTCCTTATCCTGAATTATTTTACCCAAGACAGGTAACAAATTGGTATTCCCAGACTTTACAATGGGAAGACAAACGTTTGCTGATCCCAAGAGAGAGGTTGCTCACGAACCTTGCTTAGACTCTCAAGAGCCTTGACATTTTAATAATTTAGCATAATGAAAACAGGACAAGTGCATTAGGAGTCAGTTAAAGGAGAAAGTTCTTCCACATAATTGGAGACCTCTATCCAGAACTGAGTTCTAAGGGGAATGGTCTGTGGCAGACTTAGTCGGACAGTACCCGGCTGAGGGCAGCAAGCTATACTGGCAGCCTATAGGTTACTAAACACATACAATAAACCCTCTTCCAGTAGATTTAAAAGAAGCACACCTATTAGAGATGTCATGTTCTGTTTGGCAACATGAAGAAGCTGCTTCAGGATGAGATAAGCTGTGAAACTGCAGTGCAGTAGTCATCTGGGGTTAACTCCTTCGATGAATGTTTTCATTCTGTACCAGAACAGCCCCTTGTGGTTTAGCTTATCCACTTCTAAAGAAAACTGAAATGATTGTAGCATCCCAGGCTGGTTTGGATTGGAAAGGACCTTAAGCTCATTCAGTTCCAACCCCCTGCCACAGGCAGGGACACCTTCCACTAGAGCAGCTTGCTCCAAGCCCCTGTGTCCAACCTGGCCTTGAACACTGCCAGGGATGGGGCAGCCACAGCTTCTCTGGGCACGCTGTGCCAGCACCTCAGCACCCTCACAGGGAAGAACTTCTGCCTTAGATCTAACCTGAATTTCTC